ATTCTTTCCTAATGCTAATGTACGAACGCAGGTACATATTTACGACTGTAGGGTATAAAAACATTCATACGTAGGCGAGAATAAAGAAAAATAAGTTTTTTATAAGAACTTCTTTTGCAAGAATCGTTACCGAGGCCAATGTGGCTTAGCTTTAAACCGAGTGTGCGTCCTTTGAAAACCAGTCGATGGCATTAAAATTATACTTGAGAAATTGCTTTACTCTGCTTATTCGCAATATTGAAATTTTCGTAGCTGTCGAGAGTAATCGCTTGTGCGTAACTTAAGTACGCGACGCATAACAGATTCAATTTTACACTCACTAGCACATCTGCTTTTTATTTCACCTGCCTATTTCGAGGTTATTTTTTTTTTACAAATGGAAACAGACTACTTTTGTATATAAGATTAAAAAAAAGTAAAATAGTAATAATTCAAGAAATTTAATTCATAAATGTTTTCAAAGTCAAAGGCAACCGGCATTGACAAAAAACCTTATTTGTATTGTCTCTGTTTGTGTCCGGATAAAAAGAAGCAAGTAATGTATATATATATATTTTATATATATTTTATTTTTATTTTTTGGGAAAACTTTTAACTTTATAAACTTTGAATTTTTCTGTGTGGTTGCCATGGTTTATTTTGAAAGGATTCCTGGTGTACCAGTGATTTTGGTTACTAGCTTTATTTTACAAACCTCTCCGTATTACCGACTGGATATTGTTACACAAAAAAAAAAAAAAATACGTTTTATATAAATGCTTTCGATAAATTCCGTACTTGATAGTATTTCACGCTGCGTTGTGCCAGAGGGAGAAGAGGAAAACCAAAAAGGAAAAGCTTTTAAATATCTCCCTTAATAGATGTGTCATGTTGCGGGTCTTGTGTTCTTTTCTTGTCGTATAAAATAGAAATTCATGTGTTTTTTTTTTTTCCAATTGAATAATTTCATTTTTTCTTTCTTCCTCTCTCTCTTTCTCTCTCTCTCTCTTTCATTTTTAACTGTTTAACAAACACTACTGCTAGGATATGCTAAGGAATTTTTTTCTTCTGATTCTGTATAAACGTTTTCCGTACATATATTTATATATATATATATATATTGTGGAACGTTCTTATCATGTTCTCGAAAAAAAGATTGCATTTTCATTCATCTCTCCAAATTTTTTTGAACTAAAATTTGTTGAACGGATGGGTCGTGTTCGGTCATACATTATGCATTCGTTTACGCTTTTGAATTTAAAAGCGTTTCTGCTCTTGTTACTATCATTATTATTATTATTATTATTATTTATTTGTTTGTTTACCACACAATGATTTTGGAGCAGAATTTATTCCTACTCACTCATTCTTTCTCTTTCGATAGTATTTTTTTATTTTTTATTTTTTTTATTATTTTTCTTTGAAATCGGTTTTGCGTGTTTATTCAATTGCAAGAGAGAAATTTTCAAACCCAATGGATGAATAGATTATTTTCTGTCGCATACGTAACTTATGCAAACATTTAATGACATTTAACACAGAAATTACATTTAGAATAAGCATTTAAGTGATATAGTTCGGCAATGACCGAATTCAAAATTTCAACTTTTTTTGCGTGTCACTTGAATATAAACAAATCCAGGTAAAATAAAAGTTCATTTCATCGTTTTAAACAAACAGGTGAACGTAACGTTAAATTCAGTTAATGGTTTAACAAAAATTAAGTAGAATAACCGCATATTTAACCTGCTCTCGTGTTTACTAGAAAGTAAGTGGAGCTGGTTATCGAAAATCATAAAAACTCGAAAAATTATGATAAGTTATTTGGTTATTGGCGATATCTATTCGATGATGAATTGTTACACTTGTTTTCAGAATTTATCGGTTCCCTTTTTGTACCTTATTCTCGGTCCTTGTTGTTTTTTACTGGTGCTTCATATAGTTGGGCCAATCTTTTTCATTCTCGTCATCATCTGTGCTTCATGTCTACCTCCTTTTTGTTTTGTTTTTTTTCCCCGAATCCATTTGTTATTGCTTCTTAATTTTCCTTTTCTTCCTTTCTATTTTTCTTTCGAGTTTTTTATCTACGTTTTTCTCGTCCCTTTCCTTCCTGTGCCATACCTTCCATTTTAATCTGTTCTTCTTTCTTCTGTCCAGCTCTATTTTGTTTCTTTCTTTTCTTTTTTCCTTTTCTTTTCTTTCCCTTTTGTGTTTTTTCTTTTCTTTACTTTTTCTTTCGTTTTTCTGCCTTATGTTTTCTTTTCTTGCTGTTTTGTCTTTTCTTTTGCTTCCCTTTCTTCTCTTCGCTCTTTTGTCTCTTCTTTCTTTCCATTCCTTGTCTAATATCTTCCTTTTCTCTTTTTCTTTTCTTTTCCTTTTTCTCTTTTTTTTCGCTTGTCTTTTCTCTTTTTTTCTTATGGCGTGTTTTATTTTTCTTTCTGCCCTTCTCTTATTTTATTTATTTATATGTTTGCTTTGTTCTTATTTTCCCTTCTTTTTTCTTTGTTTTTTAAATTGTTTTTCCTTCTCTTTCTTCCCTTTCCTTTTTTATCTTTCCCTTCTTTCCTTAACTTGTCTAAGCTCTTTCCTTTCTCGTCTTATCTTTTCTTTTCTCCTGTTTCCTTTCCTTTTCTTGTGTATTCATTTCTTTCTTTCCTTTTCCTTTTCTTTTTCTCTTTCTTTTATTTTCTTTTTTTTTCTTATCTTTGCTTTTTTCTCTTCTTCTCCATTTTTTCTTGTCTTGTTTCCTTTTATCCTACGTTGTGTTTTATTTTCTTTTCTACACTTCTCTTACTTTATTTGTTTATATCTTTTCTTTTTTTCCTTTGTTTTTTTAATTTCTGTCTCTTTTTATTTTCTTTCCATCTTGTCGTCTTCGATCACAATTCTATTTCCTTATTTTATATACTTTCCTTTCCTTTTCTCAGTTTTTATGATGTTCCGTTTTTCTTTTTTTCTTTCATACCAAATTTCTTCTTTTTTTTTGTTTGCTTGTGGCTATTTTTTCCTCTAATTCGATTTGAGCAATTAAATTCAACCCAAGCCAGACTTTAGTTTTTTATTGCATTTTTCATAAATTTATACTCAACAGACAGAGAGGTGAACATGATTGATTCGATTTGGTCTTGTAAACTAATTTAACGTATTCGATATATGATCCAGGTTTGTTTACGTATTTTGTTGTCGATGTAGCCCACTTGGCGAAACACAAATATGTTTTTTTGTTGATAACGAGAAAATTTCATACACTGTCGTGCAATAACTATTGCTTACTCGTTAAAAGTTGTTGGACAACGCGAGCTGCTACCCCGAACTTGAAAAATGCCTTCGAGATGGCTTGATAACGAGAACCATAAACCTACCCCGAAGTATTAGAAAAGAAATCGCCTACGTTCGAAGCTTTAATAGTTCGAAGGGATACATGGGTATAGGAAGTATATCAGAAACTTCAACTCACATTAATCTATTTTTATGTTGTCGAAGAAAAAAGGTCAATTAGAGGTCAATTATTATCAAACTAGGAAAGGAGAACGTGTTCTTACTCATTATACGAGAATAGAATTTGTAAGCTTTGTAGCCTACATTTAGGACCAATTCTTAGTAAATATTGTAGTAGTAGCAGTTTAATTGTCCAGCAGCATAGTTTCTCTTCGAAATTTCGTAAAATTTAATTCGAATATTTTCAATTCCGATTTAATGGACTAACTTAATATAATTTGCGATAATTCGTATTATTTGATTGAGGGACAAAAGACATATGTAAAATTCAATTGAATTGTTGCATAATTTGTTTAATTAATTACGTAATTATAAATATATCGCCACAAATATTAATTGCAGATATCAATAGTAAAGTGGTTTACATAACTGAACCATTGCTGGCAATAAATAAATAAATAAATAATATAATGAAACAAATATTTCTGTTTTTCTTTCGATTTTTAATTAACGATGCTTTTTGCAAAACAAAAAGTCCATAAAAAAAATATATTTTTATACTCTGCATGACTTGTGATACAAGTGGGCACATACTGTGCGGATGTATGCAACACCCAGAAAGCCTTGAGATAGACACTTTCTGGATCGATTTAAGATTGCCTATTCGTATCCATCCGTATACCCAATTGCCCGTCTGTCCGCCTGTCCCTCTATCTACCTGTCCATATAGAGGTCTGTCCGTTTACCCACTGGTCGTCTATCCACCTGTCGTCTATCCGCCTGTCCATCTACCCGGCTGCCCGTGTATCCGGCTGTCCATTTACCCATCTGTCCGTCCACCCAAGTGTCCATCTATCCGCCTGTGCGTCTACTCATCTGTCTGGCTAATCACCTGTCTGTATATCCGCCTGTCCATGTATCCACCTGTCCGTCTACCCAAGTGTCCATCTATCCGTCTGTGTGTCTACTCACCTGTCCGGCTATCCACCTGTCTGTATATCCGCCTGTCCATGCATCCACCTGTCCGTCTATCCACCTATCCGTCTATCCACCTGGCCATTTACCCGTCTGTCTCTCTTGTTTTTTGTGTTCAATCTACAAGTCGGAAATTTTTGAGATATTTAGATGAAATTTGTGCCATTGATATCTTTTGATGAAAGATCGAACGCTATTCAAAATGCTTTGAATCGGACCGCTTCCTATAAAGCGTCTGATTTTGATCAGTTTTTATATGAATAACCGTATCAAGCGAACTGGCGCAGAATATTTAAGGGTGGACCGTGGCCTACTTTAGTGCTTTTACTTGCTTGTATTGTTTTGTATTCTCTCTGCACAAATCAATATCCTTCAATCCCCCTAATAAAAGTCTCTACTTTTATGGTTTTCCCTAAGAAGCGATTGTTTTTTTTTTTTTAAATTATACTTAAGCCAGTGGTGATTGAAGCATAAACACAACGATAAGAGCAATTTATTTGAAGCTATTAAAGTGTTTTTGTTTTCATATCGGACTTTAGTCCGTTTGATTATAAATAAACATGATAAACTTTTTTATGATGAAATGCGAACGGTTTCGAATCATTTACCTGATTGCCGAATACACCGACACTGCAAGCAAATGACACTTGATCTGGACCAAACCAAACAGCAGCCAAACGAGCCGGCAAAGACAAAATGAACACCTAATGTGAATAGAAAAATTTGAGAAAAATTTATTATTCTCCATTTTACACTCAAGTTCAACTGAAGGACTTTTAACTGCCAATGATGTGAAGTACTTTAAATATTTAATACAAGTACATAACACTTATACAAAAATGTAGTTTAAATGTTCTTCAAGTTCTCTTTTAAAATAAAATGCAATAATTTAAAGTATTTTCTTTTTTTTTTACCTGAGAAAGAGCTACTATGCTTTGTCCAGCAAAGCTTAAAAAAAATAAATGAGGTTGTACTGCAAACACTTTAACCCAGGAGCCAATGCAAGTTCCAAATATACCCACCACGGCTGTGATTCGTAAGCCCTTTTTAATTAAATTTTTTCAAATTACAATTATTTAAAATATAAAATTTAAAAAAAAAAAAAGAAAACTTACCATTTTATCCAAAAACCAACTGCCTGGAAATATTAAGGGTATATATAAAATCATATAAACCATTGATGTCCAATCAATCCATACATCGCTGACCCCATAGTATCTGAAAAACACATTAAGAAAAAGGAAATGAAAAGCAAGAAAAGAAAAAAATCTTGAAGGCAGCAAAGCAAACCTATCATAAGTACAAGAGAATAATGTTAATGTAAAAAAATCTCTCAATATTGAAATATTCTTGTATTATATAATATAAATGTAAACATGGAAAGGTTCTTTCACTTACTTGGTTACAATATTTTGAATAATACTGAATTGTATCCATTGCATCGAATTCGAGGCAGAATAAAATGCAAATAATATTAACACTGCCCAACGGCGTTTGTAAACTTTGTACACTGTAAATAAATGTTATTTAAAAAAGGGAAAATAAAAAAATAAAAATACAATTTCAATGAAAGCACAAGTGAAAAGGATTTCTTTCTTACTTCTATAAAATAGAAAAAAGATTTTCAATTAAAATAACCATTAAGCAAATACGTTTAAAGTATGCCAGAAATTTCGATTTTCATTGAGCCTATAAGTATGCTACACTATAGGCAAATCTATACATGCAATCTACTGATACTATTTTGTAGGGAACTGTACTTGTAATGGAGGGATTATCACAATACTTTTAAACACTTTTAATTCATCTCAATCAAGATGAATACTTGGAATGCGATTTTTAGCAAGAAAATATTATCATTATTACTAATTTAGCCCGACAAAAAAATTCTAAAGTCTTAAAGCACTACCATCCGAGGCTATCGGCTTTATTGAAAACTCTACCATACTTGGGATTTGTAACCACGACCAATGAGTTGTTAGTCAAGACTTTTTGTCTACTTGGCCGCACAGTCGGATAGCCGAAAATAAATGTGCACTTTTACTATATTTAGAGATCAATTTTTAATTAATTTTAGACAAGAAAATTGTCTTTTCAGATGAAAAGGACTATAAAACAGCCTAAGAAATCAATCGAGTTAATCGCTAATTTCACATAGCTAGTAGGATTATGTTTCTACCTTTAAGTCACACGTACACAAACACTACTCCCGCCGTTTTTCCAGTCTACTCTACTTATAACCCTTGCTGACCACCATCGTCCTTGCGCATATAAGGGACATTCCCTGAGTGGCTGACCATATAAAAAAAAAGGCAGAAACAACTTAAAGGTTAGAAACATTTACTCATTTCTTTTCTCCACAGATCTATTAAACCCATTCTTATTAATATGGTTCGCACATTTTTCGGTGATTAGGCTTATATAAGCCCCTTACAGAATCATTACAGTTCTTATAAGACGGATAGTTTGTTGGTAAAGTTATTTGCTTCTCAACTTGATAAGCTGCCAATAGGGCGATTATTTGGTCGTCAACTCGGGAAAAGCCCAAAGTTATTGAGTTGACCGGCTTTTGAAAGATTACCAAGCAAGCAGTAACGCACATTAAAACTGTGAATAAGATGAAAAACCCCAATTTCTATACAATTCCTTTTAATTTGAAAACTTTTCCTGTTTGAACACACAAAAATTGTAATTATGATTAAAAACGCATTGGATATCGAGTTAATGTTTCCTTTTATTTTACGAAGCGAATTTGATCTTTTTATCTTCAATTTGTGCAAAGACTAAAAGTATTTTTATATGTAATTTTCTACATAAAATAAAATGATCAAAAACTTTCTCTTTTCATTCTAAAGAGGAAGAATTATTTTCATTTGCAATTCCAAAGAATGAAGGAACGTTAATTTTGTTTACAAGTATGTGAAGCGTCCATTGGGGATTACGACAAATTTATGAATTCTCAGCGACAATCATTTGCTCATTCGTTTGCCTATTGCTAGAAATCCCGAAACAGGGAAAGTTGATAAAGAAATGGCTTTACTTTTGCATACCGTTTAGTCCATGTCAGAAATTTTCTACTGAATTAATTCTCATAATAATAAAATAAAAAATTTATGAATACCTTTCACAGACTTAAACAAAAATTTTGTATAATAGAATGATGCCCTTCGGCTTACAGACACAATTAATAAAGAAACCTGAACGATTTCCTTATATTCATTTTCTATGCTTGGCATCCATGATTTCTTTCTTTATTTATTTTCACCCTCTAAGCAAATAGTGTTAAAGCCTTAAAATAGACTTTTAAATTACTATATATTTCAAAGCCTATAAATATGCTATAAGTTTTTGCGTTCATCTTTGTTTTATAGAGCAACTAAGGTCAATAGCTTTTAATGTTTGTTTGTTTGTTAGTTGGTATTCTATGCATTCTATTCAAAACTAACTAAACCAACCATCGTCATGTCATGTGACACTAACACTAAATTGTGGTGTGTTTTTATTCTCTTTGTCAACATATATTATATATATATATATATATATATATATATGCTAAGTTTCTTGTTTGTTTCGTTCTAGGTATAGGTCAAGCATTAAATGTGTAATTACGTCACAAGAACTGCAGGTCTCGTTAAAAAAAAAAAAAAAGAAAGAAGAAATTGTATGAAAAGAAGAAAGAATATATACACATATATAAATTTTCTTTATTAACTGCAACACGAATTATTGAAATATTATGCAAGCTCATGCAAAGACGAAAATCTATGCGCCAGAGTAAAGTGTACTTTTTTACGGCAAACAAAATTGGAGAATTTGAAGCATTTTATGGCTTCTCTGCCGTTTGTATTTTGAAATACATTTATGCGCTTTTTATTAGTGTGAAATATATTAGGGATAATAAATTTTTATTATTTTACCATGTTTTTCTTTTTATATTACTTTTGAGTGAACGTACCGAGCAATTAAATTGTGTTTATCTTTAATTTTATAAATAAATAAAAGGGAAACGTTCAATCAAATCAAATTTGTTTTTTCTAGACTATGCTCCAACATAGCGGACGGAAGGACAGACACCATTAAATTGATTCCTACTAAACTTATACATTTTTTTTGTGTTAGCTTCAAAAACTGATTTTTATTGATAGAATAAATTATTTCAGTCCATTTCGAATGTCAACTCTCTTCTCTTTCTCTTACTCTAACGCATTTACTATTCATGACTCATAAGGGGTTAGCAAGACTATCGTTCGAGTTAACTAGGCAAAGTAAAGTTTTCCGCAAAATTGAGCTTTTCTGGCACACAACCGCAATTTTATTTAAACTTCCACCAAACTATATTATATACGGTTCAGTGGGATTATTTATACAGTCGGCCATAGCTTGAATACGGTATTTTCAAAAGAAGAATTCATAATGTTTGTCAGCTTCTTCTAGCATTATTTATACTTTCTGTTAGAAAACGGACCAAAACTTATTTGTAGTTACAACACGATGAAACCACTGCTTTCTGTGCTTTAATACTATTACTATTTACAACAACAGACGGAAGGACTGAAATGTTTAAATTGTTTCCATTATTCATGTTAATGGAATATTTATATTTCCAATATGATAAAAGTTGTTTTCAACATTTGCTGTTTATAACAACAGACGGAAAGATGGAAATATTTAAATTGTTTCTACCATTCCCATAAACAAAAAATTTGTATTTACAATGCGATGCAAATATTGTGTTCAGTGCTTTCCAAGTTACTCTAAGTCTCTCCGGAAAGAAGAACGGGCAAGTTTAAATTGATTTCATCGTTACCGTTAATGGAATGTTTCTACTTCCAATACGATGCAAAATTTCTTTTTAACGCTTTCAAGGTCACCGTGAATAACAGCGGATGGAGGGACGGACAAGTTTAAATTGTTTCCATAAATTGATTCCATCGTTCTCGTTAATTATTGTTTTCAGTGCTTTAATGCTATTACTATTTTGAACAGCGGATGGACGGACAGACACATTTAAATTGATCATTCCCTTACATTAAAGCTACTTACAGCTGTTTCAGCGAAATTACTTTTGTACTTTTCAAAGCAAAAGCCAACCCCGAGTTCCGTTTGTCGATTAAAGGTCGCCTTTTGCCGAGAAAAGATACCGTTCATAATCGGTATTGGATTGAAAAACATTATGGCATTATAGTTTACTATTCCGTGAGTTAATAGTTTTAAGAACCGATTTTTATACGTTTATCTGAATTGGTGGGTTCTTAAAATTCGCTTCGAGACGAATGTAGATTTTTATATGTTTCGAGAAGATCATGCAAGTGGACTCATGCTCGTGCATGCATGTGTGTAATATTATTAGTATTATTATGATTATTATTGCACATCTATTATTACCTTCGGCTTTTGGCACCATTGGTGTAAAATTGTCTGGCTCCTCTTTGGGTTTGATAAAATCTGTTGATTTACTGCTTGTTATATACGGTTCAGTAAATTCACTTGTATTTGAACTCTTTAAATCCATTTTGAATGTAAATTTTTTCTTCTTTTTTTACTCTGATTGCTATTATTACAGTTACTTTTACTTTTAATATCCGGTTTTCCAAATGAAATTTATATTAAGTTTTTTTTTTTTTGTTTACTTTGCTTTTTAATTGAAATTAAATTAGTCGAAATGAAAATTTCTTTCAATTTTCGTAGATGAGTGGGTGTTTGTGCTTATGTGTGCGTGCCGCATCTACAAATAGGAATGATTGTCAATTTTGCGGTTTTTTGTTTTTAATGTTAGCAATCGTTAACGTTATACACCTTCAGCTAAATATTTTTTGGTTAATTTTTGTAATTTATTGCAAAATGTATATCTCTCCTGATCTTGTGGTTGATTAATTGACAGTTAGATGATTTGCGAAATCTTAGTGTTAATTGCTGCTGTGGCTTGCAATTGTTTTCTGTCGTTTATATTATAAAATAATGTTGCGCTGACTCGACAAAGTTTAGCACAAAAAAATAAAAAAAAAAAAAAAACGAAAACATTACAATCGCGAGCAAATTGTTATGATAACTGAATTAAACTGTGAAAAAACCTGTACCTGTATCACTGTAAAAAAAAATTAGGAAAATTATTTTCAGCTAAAATCGAATTTTTCATACCCATCAGTGGTATTTAAAAAAAAAACTAATCAAATGTATTGTGACATTTTATAACATTTAGTGGGCATGGTTGATGTTTTTTATTTTTCTAGAACTAAAATTACTATAATGTCACCCAGGGAGTATATATAAAAATCTGTACCGTCTGGTAAGTTCTAGTTTCTGAGTAATAGATAAAAAGAGCAGAAAGCAGAGATGTTCTCAGTTCCTGGTACGTTGAAGGTATGTTTGTTTGACCGGTTCGCTCCATTTTCTATAGCAATCTATTTGCAATAGTTTCCCATGCTTTTGTTAAATTTGAAGCTAGTATCTCCATATTTGGGTTCGGAAGAATGTTTACCACAGATGGACATATAGACAGACACATGAAAAGTGGGGCAGATGGAGACAAACACATGGAAAGAGGGACAGATGGAGGCAGGCACATAAAAAGAGGGACAGATGGAGGCAGACACATAAAAAGAGGGACAGATGGAGGCAGACACATGAAAAGGGAGATAGACGGAGACTCGGTGGAATTAACCTGCTTAGATCGATTCAGAAAAATCACATGTACTTTACCAAACTGCGAATCCTTTGACAAAATGAATATGCCCTCCTAGTATTAAGTGGTGGATAAAAAATGGTAGAAAAATTTGTCATAAAATATATTTTATAGCTTTTGCTTAGTACGCAAATCAAAAAAAAAAAAAAAAAAAAAAAAACAGCACAAAAAGATAAATATATTTGACATAGAAAAAATTTATATGCAAACAATTCGTCAGAAAAACGGAGAAGAAGGCGACGCATAAAATAGATTTATGATAAACGCAAATAAAGTAAAGTTAGTCGTGAAGCAATTATGCTTTCATCCCTTTCTTTATAATTGGATTCCTCTTTAGCTTGATTTCTCTTTAAAACATATGCTTAAATTTATTATTTCCGTTTGTGTAAAGCACAAAAAACAAAACTGCTTATCTATCTACAAAAGTATAAATTGCTTATAGTGACAGCAATTTATATACATTTGTTACAAAGTTTTCCAAAATCGCTAGTAATACAGACCCTAATCGAAAATAAATGGGTTTTCTTTGAGTAACTTCAAGTTTGGCTAAGCGTTGTAAGTAATCGCTTCAGAACTTAATCGCTTAACTTCATCTCATTACTTATCTTCCTTAATAACAAAAAAAACTTCACTTAAACAGCCTTAAGTTTGAGGACGCATTGTTTACAATGACTAGCTTTTTGTACCCTACCTCGCCACTTGTAGTACATGCTATGTTAAGTTGGTGCGGACGTATCGGAACACTCAGAAGGACTTAAGATAGACGTACTTTTTATTGTATTCAAGATAACTTTTTAAATCGATCTAAGCCTGACTGTCTGTCCGTCTGATGTATGTGGGTCTGTATTTACCTTCAAGCTACAGGTCGCAATTTTTGCGATATTTCGCTGAAATTTCTCTAAGGTCTAAGCACGAACCCTATTAAAAATGGTTCGGATCGGTGCACTTTTTCAACCAGTCCCCACGGCCACTTCATAACGGCCTCATCTGAGAAGTTGTTATATAGAAAAAATTTGTAATTTTTAAAATATCTCGGCAGAAGTGACTAAGTATTTGTATTTCGCCATTCTAAATTGGTGTGAAAACTTTGGACCGGCAGGGACAATATTTTGAACTCCTTCTCATATAACCGTTCCTAAGGAAATTGAAGCTTTGTGTATGCTAAAAAGATCTAATTTCCAATATTTCGTGGTGAAAGTAGGCTCACAATTCTAAATTGACAAAGAAATCTACCTTACCGAATTTGGACCACGCAAGTCTATTTTTTGAATAGTATCGCATGAATATTGCGAGGATTCCCATAACACGCAAAACCTTGTAAGCTAAAAGAGCGTAATTTTTTTGTGATGAAAATTTGTTTGTGATAGGTGTTAAATAAAGAAATTAAGTGGACCTAGTTTAAACTACATAAGTCTATTTCTTGGCAACACTCCATCTAAGATATCTCATGAATAGTAAGTCCTTCCGAAAAAGGCTTAACATTTAATATGTTATGATGAAAATTAATCCACAGTTGCGTTTCAGCAAAGAAAAAATATTGGATCACATAGTTCTATTTTTTATACATATGGAAAGAGTTAGTCCAAGCTTCCAATTTGCGAGCTTTCATCAAAATTATGGCTTTGCATGAAAATAATGCGTACTTTTTGGTACATTATCACCAAACTGTGTGCATAGGTGTATTAGGCGAAGCGGTGTAGCTTATGTAATGTAGTGGGCGTTGCTCGATTATAACGTTCTTCCTTGTTAATCATTGCAAAGGGTTAAATCTTAAATCATTATTCATAATTAAATGTTTATGTTTAACTCTACTGACCTTTTGCACTGAGCAAGCATTGCCATTAGGCGCTTAAAATACACTACAACTCCGAAGGCTTTCATTTTTAGGTCATTATCAGTACATAACCGACAAGTACGGCTAGTTGCTTCTTACTAAGGAACTTCGTAGGAACTCGTATATAGTTCATTGTGCAGCGTTGCATTTGGATTATAGGATTATAAGTTTACTGATTGATCTCTTTTGTTGCTTTTGAGACTTAAGTTTGCATAAACTCGCTTAAGCCTTCAGCTTTCATAACTGAACAATTTGCTTAACTGATTGCTAATAACGGTTTGCTCGTTCATTTATTCACTAACATTATACTATACAAGACTTGCGCGGATCTATGCAATTCTGAGAAGGATTTGAGACAAACGCAATCGATTCAGATCACTTTTTGAATCAATTTAAGTTTGTCTGTCCGTCTTCTTTTCTTGCAGGTCGCAATTCTTGAGATCTTTTCGTGTGTTTGTTCAAAGATAAACGAGTGATATGCAAAATGTGTCGGATTGGTTTACTTTTTCGACCACTTCTCAAATGAAACCTTATTTCAAAAAGCCGTTATATGAATAAATAGAGTGGTATAGAGTATCGAACGGTGCTTAGTGCTTTCGCTTGCCATTCAATAACTTGTATTAAATAAAAATTTCCAATGAGGTAAATGTTACACTGCTGCCTTACTTATTATCAACTATTTCCAATAATAGGCGTCACATTTAATGGCTTAAAGTCATCCATTGTTGTAAAAAATCTAAAATTTCTAGAGTTAGTTTTCACAAGCGATTGTGAATCGATTAACTGCTTCCTACTAATGATTTGTCCGATAAATTATTGCTTTTACTTAGATAAAAGCGTTTAATTAAACATTGCTTCTAATTGCTACAACTAAACAATTTAATCCGGTGTTATTGTGTATCTTCTCTGCATTCTTTCTTTAAAAGCATTTTACATACAATTAAATTATTTAAGTCATTTTATGCGTATCACTAAAAGGTGAGGATATATTCATTTTGCTGAAACGTTTACAACGCCCAGCAAAAACTTCAGAGATATTACACGGTATATATATTCTTGATCACCAAATAGTGAATCGATTAAAGAATTTCGTGTGGCACTCTGTACAATGTCTGTTGTAAGAATTCTCCTAGGCGCGAGAATGAAGCTATCGTCTTCATATTTGACAGAGACACCGGAAGTTCATGTGCGCAGGTTCGTATAGAAAATTCACTAAATCGCTCTTTGGATCCGCCTACAGCACTACATAAACTGAGAACACCACTGCTTTTCGCTCATTACTCGTCAACTGCAGCAGATAGATGTACAAATATTTAAACGTTTGTTCTAAGCGCAATGTTATAGTAAGGAAAATTGACCATGCCTACCGAATATTTAATTTTTTTTCCATGCCTCTATAACACGGGGATGCAAGCTTCAAAAGCTTCATAAAGTATATAGATTTTTGGTCAGTTTCAAATTCGGAATACATCTAAGCTTTTCCGTTTGTTCGTCTGTCAGTCCGTCCTTGTGTGCGTCAGGCCAACAGCGAAGTATCTGCGGCACAAATTGTTCCTTTCGCAAAACGGACGATATTGGCTACAAACTGGCAAAATAGTTGAAAAGTAGCCCACACAGGTCAAAGAACACGTCTGCAACGCTCACACCTACATATAACCAAACAATGAAAACATCTTTGCATTCCGCATCTTCCGCTCGTTGCTCACAATCTACAACAGATATACCATATAAATTTCCACAAAATTGTTCTAAAAGAATAAAAAAACTGAGCCGCACACACCCAACGTTATCATTATATTTCGCTTTTTTCCTTTTTTTTTATCTTTTAAGGGAGAACACAGTCACAGCTCTCTTGACTGCTAACTATTATGCGTGACGCGTACTTCTACGTTAGGCTGATTTAGTCTAATCAAAGCGTTATATGAATATTCACTACTATCACTAAATAGCTTTCTTATCTGAAAGTGATAAAAGTACGGAATCTTTTAACTGTTTGATATTTCAAATTCTATGTAGATTATATAATAAAGAATATCGTATATGTATTTATTTTTGGCTAAAGAAAAGGGG